TGTGAAGTCAGAGCGCAGAAAACGAACAGATGTAAAATGTAAAAGCAGAGGAAGGATGAAATTTCCCTCCTAATGAGAGCGATGATCTCCGGAGGATCCCCATCTTGATGCGAGTGCTCGTCTTTTTTTTAATTTTTATTTTTTCGAGGGTGTTTGTAATTGTCCAGGTGGTCCACAGCACTTAATCAAAATCAGCTAATCATTCAAGTTCCTCCACCACCCCCCACCCACCTCTTCTTGTATCTAAGAAACAGTCTTGAGATGAGGCGATGGCGTTCCGATCGATGGGCGATTCGGAATATGCAAAGCGCTCGACCTTTGCTGCTTTCATCTCTGCCGTTTGATGTTGCTTTTAATCTGCAGGAAGTGTAACGAGAGGCTAACGGAGGAGGAGAAGCGGACTCAGCCGGACTCCACCGGTCAGAACTCCAGGAAAGTTCCAGGAGGAAAATTTGGGAGATGGGACGCTCATCCAGAAAGCTCTCGAGATCTTCCCCTACACACACACACACACCTGTTTGTGTGTTTAAATGTGGAGTTCCTTTAATCTTAGTTTTAAACTGAGATCTCGTGTAATCTGTTAGCACTCAGAATATCTGCTGGGGATGACTCTCAGCTACTAAAGACTTTTAAAGAAACAACTTCTCTTTGATCTTTAAAGAAACAATTGATCTTTGATCTTTAAACAAACATTTGTTCTTTGGTGAAAAAAAAGAAACAATTGAGATTTGATTTTTATATAAATGATTGATCTTTGATCTTTAAACAATTGACCTTTGATTTTTAAAGAAACTATTGGCCTTTGATCTTTAGAGAATCAATTAATCTATGAACTATGAATAAACAATTTATCTTTGATTTTTTTAAAGAAACAACCGATCTTTGATCTTTAAAGAAACAATTGTTCTTTGGTCAAAAAAGAAACAAATGATTTTTGATCTTTAAAGAAACAATTGATCTTTGATTTTTAAAGAAACTATGTTTGATCATTAATGAAATGTTTGATCTTTGATCATTAAATAAATGTTTTATCTTTGATTATTAAAAAAAGTTTGATCTTTGATCATTAGACGCAATTGATTTTTGATCTTTAAAGAAACAATTGATATTTGATTTTATATAAATGATTGATCTTTGATCTTTAAAGAACCAATTGACCTTTGATTTTTAAATAAACTATTGATCTTGATCTTTAGAGAATCAATTGATCTTTGAACTATGAAAAAACAATTGCTCTTTGATTTTTAAATAAACTATTGATCTTTGATCTTTAAAGAAACAATTGTTCTTTGGTCAAAAAATAAACAATTGATTTTTTTATCTTTAAAGAAACAATTGATCTTTGATCTATAAAGACACAAATTATCTTTGATTTTTAAAGAAACTATGTTTGATCATTAATGAAATGTTTGACCTTTGATCATTAAATAAATGTTTTATCTTTGATTATTTAAAAATGTTTGATTTGTGATCATTAAAGAAACATTTTAATGTTTGATTGATGAGGGAGTTATTCCTTTCCACCGTCTTCTTTGTGCTTGCTCAATATGGGAGACTGTGATGAAGTGAAGACCTAACACAATCTGACGTTTCTTTAGATAAATAACTTTTACTAATTCACTTTTATAATGTATTTGAATGTTTCTGTTCAGTGCCCTGAGATGACCTCTGTTGTGACTTGGGGCTACATAAATAAACTGAACTGAATTGAATTTACTAACACGCCAAATATTAGATCAACATCTGCATATTGGACTAAATTATACACATTTTTGTGTTTACTAAATTGGACTAGCTGTGGCAGCCATCTTGGATCAGATGGACTCCAGAAGTTCTAGCATAGTTTACAAACATATATGGTTACTATAACATACTACAAATGGGAAACACCCTGGACAAATACCAATAAATGTGAATTTTTAGAGATAAAGTCAATAAAATGTACATTTAAAAAAAATAAAAAAATTGTTTGTTTTCTCTTTTAATCTATTTACGAAGAATACATTAGAAGTTTCTTGTTATTTATAGACTAAAGCAAAAATTATTGCACACAATTGACCCGGATACTATTTTTTAATATAAAATTTGTAAAAATTGCCCCAAACAAAACTAAACATAAGAACTAGTGACTTTAAGAACTTTTTTTTTTAAGCCTAAAAAATAATCCTCATTTGCCAAAATATAGCTTAAACTTTTCGACTTTGATGCATTGAATGCCTTTTTGTTTGTTTTCTCCTTTAAAACTGAATTTCAAGGATGAACGAGAACCTTTTTTGTGTCAAAGACTTAACAAAAAAACATTTTAGAAACACTAAAATAATTATTTTCCTCAAGCAACATAATGTTGCATGTTTCCCTTAAACAGTACATTAAAAAAAAAATACAATTACAGAAACAATTCAAACAGAATTTGTCTAAACTACAACTAAACTACAGTTGTTTTTGTTTATGTAAACCTAATTTATAGGAAAAGATGAAGATTTTTTTCCATCAATAAATAAAAAGCGGATTTTTCCCAACTTATTTCACAGACAAAATAGTTCTAATATTTAATTTTTCCTAACATCCTGACACCTAAAACAAAAAAAAAACAAAGAGCTAGTATCATTAGGAGCTATTTTTTTATGGCGGATTAATACATCTTTAGCGCTCCAGAGTCCTTTAACGGGACATTATGAACCAAAAGGAGCATTTAAATTATTAAATATTGTTGACAAACGTAAAAAAAAAAAAAACATGAAGCAAAAACAGGTGGAGAAATGGTGATTGGATGTTTAGTTTGAACGGAATAAGACATAAGTAGCCGAGCCGGAGTCATTTCACTTTGATCCATTTGAAAATGAGCGCTGAAACTGTATCTAATTAGCATAATAATAAGGAGCAGACACTTCATCTAACATAAAGTGGATATGCGAGAAGAAAGATTCCCTCCTTTTGGAAAGAATTTAAAACGACTCGAGCTCGACTCGGCCGAGCATTTTTTTTTTAAAGTATGGGAAAAAACACAAAGCGCCGAAAGGTTTGGTACTCTGTAATTTGGCTACTTTTTATTCGAGCAGGGTCATCTTCAAGAGAAATTACAAATTAAGAATTCAATAATACTTTTACAAAGACATTTCAGGAAAGATTTCTTCTTCAGTCATGATATCATACATAGTATTTAACAGTCCCTCTTCGTTTTTTTTTTTTTTTTTAGCTTAAAAAAAGAAACAAAGATGAAGAAAAGTGGAATTCTCTCTCGCTCTCTCTCTCTCTTTTTTTTTTTTTGTTGTTTTTTTTTTTTTTCTCAGTCGAAAATACAGTGTTTTCACAATTGTATAAAAGTTCCCAAATTTTGGAGTTTTTTTCCAGCAACTGGAAAGTAAAAGGAAATAAAATAAGATTCAACTTTCACAATGTTTCAAAACACAATAAATGCTCTCTTTAAATTTGCCCCTATGATCGACACCATGTTCCTTTTTACTAAAATATATCTATATATTGAAGAACTATAGTACTGTACACAACAGTATGAAATAAATAAAATTAGGAAATATAAAATGGGCCACATAAATAAGGTTTTTCTTCAACCTACAAAATAAATGAATGCAGTTTTGCTGTTTTCAGAAAATGGTTTGGTGTAATACTGACAAAAAAAAAATAAAATAAGAGCTGAGAAAACATTGCACAACATAATGTAAACTAAGGAACTGCTGCCTAGAAGTCGTAATACTGACACGGGTGCTTCAAAGAACAACGGTGAACCATTTCATAATACTGAAGCTGGTGAAAAATAAACCTTCCTTTTACACGATACGAGGGTGGCACTTGCAGAAAACACACAGGTTAAAAGGTTTGCATATAAGGCTTCTTTTCTTATCAAAAAACACCTTACAAAGGCTTCATCCTTCATTGTTTTGTTTTTTTTAAGTATTTTTACCCCAAACACTCTGTCCATAAATCGTATTTTCCCTTAAATTGAATTTAAAACTTAATCCTTCAAGAAAAAAAAAAAAAAAAACGAACACAGTTTAAATTCCTTCATTTGTTTCCAGATGCCTAAAACAGTGTGGCTGGAGATGTTGGCAACAGAAAAACGACACCAAAGGTAGTGATAAAGGTAATACTGAAGGACTGGAGTGCAGCTAACACTGCTCTTTTTCCAACACTGTATAAATATATACATAGGCAATACTTTTATTATTTTTGTTCATGATTATAGAAGCGGAGTGCAATTTGTACAAGTCACTAGTTGTGCTATAAATACTATGGAACACGGGGG